TGTGCGCGCGCGCGCACACACACACACACACACACACACACACACACACACACACTCATACACTCACGTGAAAGGCCAGGACCTCCACCAGTGTCAGGGTCCACCACCAGCAGAGTGGAGCCTCACACCCAGGGGGCAACCTTGGGCAGGAGTGGGGAGGCCTTTGGGGGTTTGAGCAGATGTCTGCAGGTTGCCTACAAGGGGGCGTCCCAGGCACCCAGCTGCCTGGGCATTCTGCAGCCACTCTGGGCAGGATCGGGCCTGTGGGTGACACCAGGCTGCCCTGTGCAGGTGCAGAGGCTTCCACAGAGAGCATTCCCTGCGTGGCCCTGCACCATGCCACCCCACAGCCCACGGAGCAGAGAGGCGGGCATGGTAGGACTGGAGGCTGAGGCCTCACAGGGCCCCATGGGCAGAGTGGCGAGGACAAAAGCAACCATGGGGGACCCTCAGGAGCAGCCCAACAAACGGGCTGCTCGGCACCTGCCCGCATCCCTCGGTCATGGGGGGACCCGGGAGCAGTAGGTTACCACGTGGCACAGAGTGGATCCCAGGCCCCCTGATCCCACCAACACCGTGGCCTTGGGCCCTGCTCAGTGCCATCCCCCGCTTCCTTGCTCACCAGCCCCACCCCAGCAGCAGGCCTGCTCCTCTCTGGGAGCTGGGGACACTCTCTATCTTAGCATTGGAAAGACCCTCAGACCCACCGGGAAGTAGGGCACGCCCACGCCACCAGGGACCCTTCGGGGATGCCTTCTCCAGTTGCAGGTGCTGAAAACGCTGGCCATGCTGTGGCTTGGCACCGTGACTCTCACCTACCTCCTGTGGCAAGTGCCCCGTCTCTCAACCTGGGGCCAGCTGCACCCCGAGGAAGGGCCCTCCAGGTCCCAGGGGCGTGACTCAAGCCTGACCTGGGAGCCCCTTGAAGGGGAGACCATGCAGCAGCAGCCGGACTCCTGCCAGTGAGTGACCTGCGGGGTCAGCCGGGGGGCAGGTCTCAGCCCCTGGCCACCACCTGTGGTCTCCTTGGGATCTGCCCAGTGGGCTAAGTTGCCCTCTGCCAGCTCCTCTTGGAGGATGCAGTTTCCTGGAGAGGGTGGGCAGTGAGGTGGGGGCTCTAGGGGTGGGGCCTGGGTCCCCAATCTGCTCTGCTCTCAGGCCCTCCCTGGCACACTCCTGGGTGTCACCGACCTCCTCAGGCTTGCTGGGCTCAGGCTTGCGCTGCCCAGGCTGGTTGGCTGCGCCTCCTTGCACACTTGGCCTGGGCTCGGCCCTGGGACCATGTAGGCAGTGACCCTGATACCCCCTCGTTTGGCCAGTGGGGACAGAGCAGGTAATGGCAGGCAGCCTGATGGCTTCTGAGCCCAGGCTCGGGCCCCACTTGCTCCCTCTGCAGGCTGGTCCTCGTGGAAAGCATCCCCCAGGACCTGCGGTTTGCAGCCGGAAGCCCGTCTGCCCAGCCCCTGGCCCAGGCCTGGCTACAGCTGCTGGACACTGCCCGGGAGAGTATCCACATGGCTTCCTTCTACTGGTCCCTCACAGGACCTGACATTGGGGTCAACGACTCATCCTCCCAGCTGGTGTGTCCCCCACCCCCCATGACTCCCCTCTGCAGGCAGTCCCCTGCGGGCTCACTGCCAGTCGGCAGCACATCGGTCTGACTCTGAGCTGTGGGCGGTCAGGGTGGCCCCTGGGGAAGGTCTGGGTCCTTTCTGGTGAGAGGTGCGGAGGGCTGGCCTGGGATCGGTGCTCAGGGTCGGGCTTGCAGGGGGAGTCCCTTCTGCAGAAGCTGCAGGACCTCCTGGACAGGAACGTCTCCCTGGCTGTGGCCACCAGCCACCCGACACTGGCCAGGAACTCCACTGACCTGCAGGTCCTGGCCACCCGAGGTAGGTGGCTGCCCTGTACCCCCCGTGCCGGGGCCGGCGTGGCTGAATGCGGGTGTCATGGACAGGGACCAGGACAGTGGGGTTGCTGCAGGGAGGCCGGGAAACACCCTGCACTTCCCCAGGACCCCGGAAGGCAGGAGCCCAGGGCTGCCAGCTCCTTCCAGCCAGGCGGCTCCACCAGGACCGAGCTGGCTCCCAGGAGCTGGGAGTGTCATGTTCCATGGGGTGCAGCATAGCGTGGCCTTGGGGTCCCTGCTGAGCCCAGATGATCTAACCTGTGGGTGGAGGCTCAGCGGTGGGGCAAGAGGCAGTGGGCACCATTGTTACATGGCAGGCTCTGGACTGGGGCTGCCGGGGGGGCCAGGCCAGTTCATGCCTCAGTTTCCCCACCTGTAAAACTGGGATGTTCATAGCATCAACCTACTAGGGCCATTGTGAGGATAAATGAGTCAACCCAGGTATAAAGAGCTGAGGCTCACCTGGAAGCTAGTTCAGCCTGTTGTCCTGGGCTCTCGGCCAGGTGCCCAGGTGCGACACGTGCCCATGGGGAAGCTTACCAGGGGCGTTCTGCACTCCAAATTCTGGGTCGTGGATGGGCGGCATGTCTACATGGGCAGCGCCAACATGGACTGGCGGTCCCTGACACAGGTGAGTCCCAGAGCCCAGACAGGGAGACCCACCTGGGTCTCGTCCCCTCCGCACACTCCGGGGGCTTTGCCTGGTGTCCCCAGCAGCCAGTCACTGAACGGAAGCTTGGTTGATGCAGCCACATCTATAACATGACCACAGGGGGACCCACAGGAGGCTGGTCCCTGCAGTCACACTGGACTCATGCTGTGGAACCTCATGTGACCAGTCACTTCAGCCTGGTCCCATTTAGGAAAAGCAAAGCATTAAAAACTTGTCAAAGAATGATGGGAAAGGTAATCACGGTTGGCACATGACAATAAAGAGAAGAACGATCTTTCTTTTTTGTGCTTGTATGCATTTTCTATGATTTTTTTGGTAATAAACACGTATTGCTTTGATCGTTACAATACAATGTTCGAGGAAAACAGGGACCCTCTGGGAACCCCACCCAGAGCTCCCCCAGCCCTCTATCTGTTACAGGGCTGTGGACGGACCACCCATGTGGGGGCTGCACCCCGTCCAGCACCCCTGCCCTGGGGGCCCCACACAGGCCCCAGAACGGTCTCCTCCCACAGCCGCTGTCCCATCCTTGCAGGTAAAGGAGCTCGGCGCCATCATCTACAACTGTAGCCGCCTGGCCCGGGACCTGGAGAAGACCTTCCAGACCTACTGGGTGTTGGGGGCGCCCAAGGCTGTCCTCCCCAGACACTGGCCTCGAAACTTCTCATCCCACATCAACCGCTTCCAGCCCCTCAAAGCCCGCTTTGCCGGAGTGCCCACTACTGCCTACTTCTCGGTAAGAGGGCTCAAGCTGTGCCCCTGCCCTCCTGGCCGGCCAGACCCACAGGGCACCCTGCTCCACCTGGGCCCGCCCTGCAGACACCACAGCCGGGCCCTCACGTATGCAGCCCGTGGAGCCAGCGCTGTGGTCGGGCTGTGGTCCCTGGGGGAGGGGCAGGCTGTCAGTTGGCAGGCCGAGGGGCGGGGCGAGGGGCGGTGTCCTGTGGCCCTGGGGCCTCCAAGCACACTGCTGGGCGGGGTCAAGAGCCAGGGAGGCGGGGCCAGGAATCGCTCATCAAGCAATTCTGTTACCCTGTGGAGAAAGGGTACACACACGCACACATACACTAATACTCACACACACACTCAGCCGCCCCGGTGGCTGCCCTACAGAGTGGGGTGTCCGAGTAAGGCACGTCTCTGAGCGGGCGCAGGAGCCTTGCCTGTGTGGGGGCTGTCTCTCAGGGAAGCCAGGACCGGCCCCTTCGTCCTCCTGGTGCGCCAGCCAGCGCCTCTTGTCTTTCTCCTGGATCCCAGATGCTGGGCGGTGGGTGCGTGGGGGGTCACCGGTGCAGGAGCCAAGCGGCTCAGCACAGGCGTGCCCTCGGGGCCCTGTCTCCCCACACAGGCGTCGCCACCTGTGCTCTGCCCCCGTGGCCGCACCTGGGACCTGAGCGCACTGCTGGCAGTGATGGCGGAGGCCCGGCGGTTCATCTACGTCTCAGTAATGGAGTATTTCCCCACCACGCGCTTCAGCCGCCCTGCCAGGTGGGTCTGCGTGGCAGCCAGCGGCCTGGAGGGTGGGGAACGCTCTGCCAATGGGCACACTCCCCCTCCTGCCAGGACCTTGCAGGAGGGTCCTCAGTTGGCCCGAGGACCTTGACCTTCCCTTCCCCCAGGTACTGGCCAGTGTTGGACAACGCACTGCGGGCAGCGGCTTTCAGCAGAGGTGTGCAGGTGCGCCTGCTGGTCAGCTGTGGGCTCAACACGGATCCCAGCATGTTCCCTTACCTGCGGTCCCTGCAAGCCCTCAGCAACCCCAAGGCCGGCGTGTCAGTGGATGTGGTGAGGACCCGGCCCTGGGCTGGCGGGGGGTGGGGTGGTCCTCCCCCTCCCTGACACGCTCCCTCTCTGTCCCCAAAGAAAGTCTTCATCGTGCCCGTGGGGAATCACTCCAACATCCCGTTCAGCAGGGTAAACCACAGCAAATTCATGGTCACGGAGAAGGCGGCCTACATAGGTGAGCCGCTGGGGGAGGTCTCGGGCAGAGCTCAGGCCCTGGCAGCCTCAGGACCCTTGAGTCTTTGAGGGTGCCAGGTGAGGGGATGTGACACACAGAGGCCACACAAACCTGCAGAAGGGAGGACGCCCCCAGGCCATGGCCAGGCCAGGGAGCTGAAAGGGGCACTGCGCTTATATCCAGCATGCACCCCGCAGGACAGGGGCTGCTGAGGGGGTCTCCATGGGGTCTCCCTTGGAGTTCTGAGGACAGGCAACCAGCCCAGCTGTCACCCAGCCCCACAGGGGCAGGCGGGGCATCCTAGCACCCAGTCCCAGAACACTGTTGGGGCAACTGTCCCCAGATGATGTGGGCAGAGTTCCATATGAAGAGCTAGCTGGCCCTCCTGCCTGGAGGCTGCCATGGTTGGAGTTCGATGGCAGCAGAGCGGCCGCGGTGCCCATGTGTCCCCAAAGCTGTGACTGAGGCCATAGCACTGGCCAGGCTGGAGGGGCCTGTGTGAGCCCAGTGGCCCAGCACTGCTTTTCCACACGCCCCGTAGGCACCTCCAACTGGTCGGAAGATTACTTCAGCAGCACTTCGGGTGTGGGTCTGGTGGTCAGCCAAAGGAACTCCAGCACCCAGCCAGGGGTGGCCACTGTGCAGGAGCAGCTGCGGCGACTATTTGAGCGAGACTGGAGCTCCCGCTATGCCGTGGGCCTAGATGGACAAGCCCAGGGCCAGGACTGTGTGTGGCAGGGCTGAGGTCCAGCCCTTCCTGGCTCCTGGCCCGCACAGCTCTCAGTGGACACTGGCTTCCACCAGGCCTTCCCGTCTGTCCCCCAGCCTGAGCTCCAAACAGCTTCTTCCGCACAAACCCTGGTCAACGTCAAGAATGCCCAACGTCCAGAGGTGCAAACTGTTTGCTCCCCCCTGCTCTCCAAATACAGCCCCTTAAACCTCACCTCCTCCAGGGAGTCCTCCAGGATGCCTCTCCCTGAGTCCCACAGAACTGCAATCCTGGCCCACCAGTGGGGCCTCTGTATTATGTGTGCCTCCCTGTCTCTCTGTGTGTATCCCGTAGTGTTGCACCCCCTCCTCCTGGGCTGAGGCTGGAGTTCAGCCTCCTGACACTGCAAAGAGCCAATGTCCACATGACTGCTGGGCAAGGCAGTGAGGGGCGTCTGCCATGGGAGCTCCTGACTCTCGTCAGCGTCCGGTCCCAGCCCACCGGAACCCAGGGGTGGAGCAGTAGGCGGGCACACAAGTGACTCTGGAGGGACCCTTGCATGCCCAGCGCCCTTGGTTGGGGATGGCGGAGCAAGAGCGAATAGACTGGCCCCCCATGGCCACCGGGTACATCCTGGGCAGTTAGCTGTTGGTGTAGCCAACAGAGACTCAGGACTGTGGGGTACAGTGGAGAGGGCCATGGACTGAGCGGGGGAAGGGGACACCAAGCTTGCACGGGGTTGGATGTAACCCTACTGGAACTCTCCTCCTGGGCACCACCTAGGCACCTGCCCTGCAGAGCCAGGCTCTGAATTCTGTTGTGGCCCTTCTGGTAGGAATGCTGGATCAGGTGTCTGTCTCCCCCGCTGGCTGCTGACCCAGGCTGTGAGTCCTCCTGCTGTGGCGGAGACCCCAAGGCCACCCAAGGCTGGAGCTTGGGGCTGGCTCAGTGGTCCAAGAGGCACTAGATGCTGAGGGAGCTAAGCCAGTGGATGCCAGGGTGCTGCTGTCCCACCCCCTGGGTGCCCCGTGCCACCCCCTCCCCAGCCCCATGCACCTGGGTTGCCGCTGGACACCTCAGACATCAGTGGCCTGTCCGTGAAGCAGCTCCCCCAGACGCAGCCTGCCTCCCTGCCCAGACTTGCTAGGGTCTCAGGGGGTGCCGAGGACCCATGCAGCACTGCAAGGCTGCTGGGGCCCATGGGGGCTGGCCTGCAGGGAACTGCACGGACGAAGACAGGCCCGGCGCTCCCATCCCCTGCCCAGGTGCAGACGCCATCCCAGCCCCACCTGCCCTCCAGGGCTGTTGGGCAGGCGTGCTCCCTGGCTGTTGGTCCTGCAGCGGCATGTTTCTTGGAGCTCTCAGCCTGCTTCCCAGGCCTGTCGGCCATGGTCTAGGATGGCTCTGGGCTCCAGGCCACGATGCGGCAGGTAGAAAGGCCCCAGTCAACTGCCCGTTGGCCCTCAGCCAGGGCAAGGCTTGTTGCCACACACCTCCGGCCTGGTGGTCACACCTCAGTGGCAGCCTGGAAGGCCTGCTCCCAGGAGACCCCCCTCCATAGGGGGCGCAGCTTAATAAGGACTGAGAGACCCCACCCCTGGAACTCCATCCTGTGAGCCCCACCCCTACCGGCTGGGTGACCACTTGCTAGTAACAGAGGCAGTTACAGGATGTAACGGCTGGGAGCGCCCCCTGCTGGTTGCCTTGGGCTGGGAGACGCCCCACAGAGAGGCCTCCATGGCACTGAACGTTGCCAACAAGAATGCCAGTTTCAGAAGCAGCTCCTTCTCCGCTCAAGTCTGGAGGTGAAACCACAGCCCCACCGTCACCTGAGTCACACACTTGTGGGACCCTGGGCAGAGGACCAGCTGCGCTGTGCATGGACTCCTGGCCCACAGAAACCGGGAGGTGATAAATGTGTGTCTTTAAGCCGCTCATTTGTGGTGATTTGTCACACAGCACAGATAACTAATACGTGGCGGGACCGGGGGTCTGTGCTGCTCAGTAGCCCCCACGGGATGTGACCGCTGCCTCTCTGGCCTCCAGGCCAAGGCCCAGGACCGCAGGCCTTGACTCCAGGTTTAGAGACAGCTGAAGACCCCAAGGAGACAGGTGGGCCCCACTGCAGTGTTCCCAGGGGACTGCACTTGCCAGGCAGGGAAGCTGGGGACCTGGGCAGGGGGCACAACAGCAGGTGACAGCCACACTGACCTTCTCTCACATCTCCCCACGCAGGGCCCTTACCAGAGGGTTCCATGCCCCTAATTTGGTGACTTCCCATCGGCCCTAGGGAGACACGTCTTGTCTGCAGTGGCTCGGGGGACAGACCCAGCCTGTCCTCCCCACCCGCAGTCCCACTCCCTTCTGGGCCCTCAGTCCTCCAGAGGGGCTCAGAGCGCAGCTGTCTTGCACTCACAGCCATGCCCCTCCAAGGGAGGAGGGGCAGATCACCAGGAGCCCGCCTGGGCCACGAGGGGCTGGGGCAGCTGGGAGGAGGAGACATGGCCCCTTAGGAAAGCCCTTGGGCCTCATTGGCCACCCCAGGTGGACTTGCGGCCTGTGGGGTGCTCGGAGCAGGGCGTTGCAGGGAAGGACGTTTGAGAGGGGCCCCTGTCATGGCCAAGGACCCGCTGACCCTGAGGGCCGGGGCCCTCTTTCTGTGCCGCCCCTGCTCTGCCTTCCCGCTGGCGGGGGCGTGCCTGTCCATGTCCCCTGCCACACTGACTGCCTGGGCCCTTGCCTTCCTCCTCCTGGTCTCTGCCAACTGCTGGCTCACAAGAGGACAAACGGCTAAGTGAAAGCCACGCTGAGATTCACCTTGACTGTTTTCCAGAGTGACTTAGTAGAGATTAGGACCGGGAGTGTGCGTGTCCCCGGACAAAAGCTCTCACAGCCACTACCGCAGGTGTGTCACTTACTTTATTGCCCATCCAGGGAACAACTGAGTGGGGAGTCTGTGCAGCATGTGCGTGAGGGGCTTGGCGGCCATGCAGGGCCACATCGCCAGCAGGAAGGGGGACCCGTCCGGAACCTCCTGGCAGCGCGTGGATATCCTCACAGCCTCTGCCGAGCACAGTCAGCACCCTGCTTACAGCATCTGGGCATGTCACACGAAGCCCCCCAAAGCTTGCTGGTGGGACAGTCAGCAGAGGAGTGGGCTGGGTAAGAGTGCGCAGGCAGTGGGGTTTCCAGAGGGTATGCCGGACTCTGCTGAAGCCGGAAGCAGGGCCTACGCTGGCCAGGAAGCAGCAGCAGGGGCCGGACAGGGTGACACCAAACCTGAGTCCACACACGCGGCGGTCATTGCCCCTTCCTCACAGAGACAGCCGTGTTCTCCGGGGTGTCGTGGGTGAGTCCTCAGAAATGGGGTTAATAGGCCTTGTCCAGCAGTGTCTTCAGGGACACACGACCTCATGGGGTCCTGGCATCTTGTGGAAAGTCAGGACAATGCTTTGCTTTCAAAATTTGGGGAGCTGGGCAATGTTTTGGTCCCATGTTAGGAGCATTTGCCATGGCAGCAGGGTTTCTGCTCGGTTCTCCGTTCTGAGTCGAGGGGGCCACGCGCTTGGCCTCCCAACTTCCTTCTTTCCGCCCCTGACAAGTCACACCTGCGGCCCTCACTTGGTTGTGGGTCTGGGTGTAGGCTCGTCACTGGCTTTTCTGCCCTGCTCCAGCGGGACCAACTCCGTCCTGGCTGCAGATGTCACCATGGCTCTGGGGCCTGGCCCGGTGGCCGCAGCCTCTGCTGGCTCCCCGTCCTCCTCCTCAGGGGAGAAGCTTTCTTGGGCATCAAAAAAGGTGACTGCTTCTTCCTGGAGCTGTGGCTCTGCCAGACCCACCTTGTCCTCAGTGCTTTGGCTTTTCTTGGTAGGAGACGAGGAGAACCCTAACTTGGGGAATCGAAACCAGCCTGCCTTCTCCTGTTTCTTCGGCAGCTCCACCCCAGGGCGAGCCTCAGGCTGTGTTTGCACAGGAGCAGGTCTTGGCACATCTTCTGTGGCACCAGCGCTTGTCTCCTCGGTAGAGGAAGAAAACCCAATGTTTGGAAGCCAAAACCGGAATAGCCCAGACCTTTTGCTTTCTGGTTTCTCTGTTGCCTCCTTGTCTTCATCCTCCAAGGGTGTAGCTACCTCTCGGTCATCTTCAGGCAGGAATTCGAGAATTTCCACAGGCTCCTCGTCGGAACAGCTGTCTGCAAACTGGTAGCCAGAGCGAACTTCATACGTAAATGTTTGCGGTCCCAGCACGTTGAGGCTGGAAGAGATCATTTCAAACGGTTCTCCAGTGTCGGGCTGGAGGTCTCCAGAACTGGGATCAGCTCCTGGGGTGACTTGTTGGGGAGCCTCTTGCAAGCCTTCAGGCAACCCCGAGTCCTGAGTGACCACATGCACTTGAGCCCGTGAGGGGCGCTCCGGGACCTTCCCCTTGAGCAAGGAAAACCCGTAGGAAGGCATCTGGGTCTTGGAGGCCGGAATCTCTGATTCACGCACAATTTGAGTGGAGAAAGCCTCGGGTCCTGAGAGGTCAGCAAACTCTGCTGTCACTCTGCTGTGTGTGGTGACCTCTTGGCTCTCAACCCGAGCACCTTGGATGTGCACTCTGACCTTAGAAATGGGGGAAGCTTCCGAGGAGAGGTCAAGGACCACCGGCTGCTCCCTGGGGACCCCAGCACCTGTCTTCAGGATGCTCGCCCCCCAGTCTCCGGAGCTTTCCTTACGCAGGGCCAGGTCGAGGCTGCTGTCTGGGCACCACACTTCTCTCACAGTGGGGATAAAGACATCGGCCGTGGAGCCGGGGGCTGGGAAGGTAAACCTGGGCACCTTTAACGTGGGGAATTTGACAGTTAGCACAGAATCCTCCCAGAGCTGACCCATGTCAACGGTGGGGATCTGGGATGGCACGTCAATCCTGGAAGCCTTCAGTCTCAGGGGGCCTTCGGTGGGGGACGACTGGTGCTCTGTTCTCTCTGACCCCCTGGGGGGAGTCTTGCCCGTTTCCCCTGGAGGAGCTTTGGTTTCTGAAAGTCTCCTGCTGGGCATCTGAAGGGGCAGGGAGCCTTGGCCTGGATGGAGCTGGACCTCGGAAGTGGGAAGATCACCAGAGGACATCCCAGCAGGAGGGCAGTGCAGATTCAAGCCTTTGCTGTCTAGAGTTCGCCTTAGGACATCTGCCTCTGCCTCTGCCTCTGCCTCTGCCTCTGCCTCTGCCTCTGGGGGCTGTGGGGACACAATGGT